GGAGGGGTAAGAAGAAGGGGGGTTAAGAAGAAGGAGAGAGGTTAAGAAGAATAAGAGGGGGTAAGAAGGGAGCAGCAAGAAGAAGACGGGGGAAAGAAGAAGAGGGGGTAAGAAGGAAAAGGGGGTATGAAGAAGAAGAAGGGTGGAGTAAGAAGAAGGGGGAGTAAGAAGAACAAGGAGGGGTAAGAAGAAGAGGGAGTAAGAAGAAGGGTTGGGGTAAGAAGAAGAGGGTGGTAAGAAGAAGAAAGGGGTAAGAAGAAGAAGGGTGGAGTAAGAAGAAGGGGGGAGTAAGAAGAACAAGGAGGGGTAAGAAGAACATGTGGGGGGAGTAAGAAGAACAGGTGGGGGAGTAAGAAGAACAAGGGAGGTAAGAAGAATGGGGGTAAGAAGAAGGGGGCAAGAAGAACAGGTGGGGAGTAAGAACAACAAGGGGGTAAGAAGAACGGGGTAAGAAGAACAGGGGAAGTAAGAAGAACAAGGGAGTGAGGGGGGGGGAGAGTAAGGGGTGAGAAGAAGAGGAGATGAGGAGGGGGAGAGTAAGGGTAAGGAGAAGGGGGAGATGAGGAGAACGGGGGAGAAATGAGAAGGCACAGGGAGGGTGGGTGGTGAGGAGAACACAGGGAGGAGAGGGGGTAAGAAGAACACAGGGAGGGGGGTGAGGAGAAGGGGAGATGAGAACACAAGGAGGGGGGAGGTGAGAAGAACACAGGTAGGGGGGAGGTGAGAAGAACACAGGGGGGTGAGGAGAACACATGGAGGCGGGGAATGAGAAGAACACAGGGAGGATGGAGGGGGGGATTAGAAGAGCACAGGGAGGGTAGGAGAGTGTGAGAAGAAACCGCTAGGGGAGGGTGGGGGAGAGCTCTAAGGGACAGAACGGACAGCTCTATAGGACAGGGGGCAAGACACTATGCGCACACGCACACACAATGCATCCCTATACACAGGGACGTATTAGCCGCGAGGCAAACAAGGCATTTGCCTTGGGCGGCATTTTTCAAGGGGCGGCAAAAAACGCCGCCCCCAAATGCCCAGGGCAAATGTCTTGTTAGCCTCGCGGCTAACAGACATCACGAGCAGACGGGTGGCTGGCGAGGGAGCTCTTCCTCTGAGCTGTCTGCTCAGCTCCCTCGCGCGCCGCACAGTGAGGCTGGGAGCCGGAAGATGACGTCATATTCCGGCTTCCAGCCTCACTCTGCGGCGCGCGAGGGAGCTGAACAGTCAGCTCAGAGGAAGTGCTCCCTCGCCGGCGCTGCCCAGCCCGACCAGCAGCCACTGGACCACCAGGGAGAGAGAGACCCCCCCCCAGCACTCCCAAAGTTAAGGAGGCTGGGGGGATTAAAAAAAAAGTTAATGTGAGTGATTGTGTGTGTGTGTCTGACTGTGTGTGTGTGTATCTGACTGTGTGTGTGTGTTTGTGTCTGACTGTGTGTTTCAGGTTCGACTGTGTGTGTGTGTTTGTGTCTGACTGTGTGTGTGTGTTTGACTGTGTGTGTGTGTGTGTGTTTGACTGTGTGTGTGTGTCTGACTGTGTGTGTGTGTTTGTGTCCGACTGTGTGTGTGTTTGTGTCTGTTTGTGTCTGACTGTGTGTGTTTGTGTCTGACTGTGTGTTTGTGTCTTTGTGACTTTGTGTGTTTGTGACTGTGTGTATGTTTGTTTGTGTCTGACTGTGTTTGTGTCTGTGTATGTGTCTGACTGTGTGTGTGTTTGTGTCTGACTGTGTGTGTGTCTGTGTATGTGTCTGACTGTGTTTGTATGTGTCTGTGTGGGTGTGTTTGTGTCTGACTCTGTGTGTGTGTGTCTGACTGTGTGTGTGTGTATTTAGAAGGTGGGGCGGCGGGAAGGGTTGGGTGGGGGTGGCACGGGGGGAGGGGGTGCCTGAGTTTTGTCCTGCCTAGGGCAGCACAAAACCAGGATACACCACTGCCTATACATACACAGAAACACACAATGCATCCCTACACACACAGAAACACAACATGCTTCCCTTATACACAGAGAAACGTACAATGCATCCATTCCACACACACAATGCAACCCTTACACACAAAGACAATGCATCGTTTGCACACATACACAGAAACACACAATGCAAACCCTTACACACACATGCAAACACACACACTGCTTTTCTTACATACACACATAAACACACTGCATCTCTTACACACATTCAATGCACACACATACAGACACACACCTTGCATCCCTTATGCACAGAGGAGGGCTGGCAGCCTTAGGCCTGGGGGGCAAAACCAGTCAAGTGGCCCATTGCACCACCAAATCAGTGCAATGGTGCCCACCTTTTCCTGGTTTTACAACGGATATTGATGTTATGCTAATCAGTAGCTCTTTGCAGGGGCGTACCTAGAGTTTTTGGCACCCGGGGCGGATCTTGTGCTTAGCACCCCCCCACCCCAAAAAAAAAAAAAAACCTGTAAAAAAATGTTAAACTTTGCAAAACCACTGTCAGCCCCTTCTACAAAACCCTTGTCCTGCCCCGCCCCTCCTACAAAACCTCTGTTCTGCCCCTTCTACAAATCCTGTACTGCCCCGTCTACAAAACCCCCGCAACCCCCTTCCACAAATCCCCTGCTTATCCCCCCTTATAAAGACTCCTGTCCCAATACAAAAACCCCACCCCCTTCTACAAAATCCCTGCAGCCCTACACACACATTTACAGGCAGACAGTCACACACTCAGTTGCAGACAGACAGTCACACACTCAGTTACAGACAGACAGTCACACATACACATTTCCTCCGTGCGTCCAGTTTATCAGCTGTTTGCTTGAGTGAGCTGTACTGGCCGCACGGCACCCTAACTACCATGGGACACTGTGCGGCCACAGCTCACACAGCCCCCTCCAGCCAGGGCCGGTACAAGGATTTTTGCCGCCAAAGGCAAAAGTAAAGTTTGCCGTCCCCCATGTGACATCACAATGTCCCAGCCATATGATTTGCCATGTTAACTAACGCCAGTGCTGCAGTGCCGCCGTGTTTACATTAAAAGGCCTGCAGGGACAGGCTATAGACACCAGAACCACTACATTAAGCTGAAGTGGTTCTGGGGACTATAGTGTTTCTTTAATGTGAGGTAAATTAGAGCTTAGTGCCACGAATAATATACTAGATTGCCTACTTACAACCAGATGATGATGATGATGGGCTCTAGCTGCAGTCTGGCTCCACTGGTCTGGTGCAGAACAGGCTCTCTGGAGGCGGTTTGTAACTGTGGTCACAAAAATCAATGTTCTGGGAGAACGGGAAGCAGCTCCATTTTTGGGGGTCCTTTACACAGCTCAAGGTCTGGGTCCCAGGGTCCACCTTCATGTTCCACCAATGAGTTTGTTCACAGGGGGTGGAGTGTGTAGGGGATGTCCTCTATTGTGATGGCACCCTGCGTGACCGCACAGCGTGCACACCCCAACGGCTGGCCCTGCTGACACACACTGATGTTACTACTTAGAAATCCCTCAATATTAATACAGACATCAGAGTAAACACCAATAAACTGTGGAAACAGAGCTGATCCCCCAAAATTTATAAAGATTTGCTTACTGGATTTGTTGTAAGATTAAATCATGCCTCCTCCTCTCTCTCCCATGCGCTGCTCTGTAGGCTGGGAGGAAGTGAAGAGTAATCACAATCTCCCAGCACAGCGGCACCTGTGGCTGCATGGGGAACAGCTGTATTTGCCGCCCCCATGTGACATCACAATGCCCCACCTATATGAGCTGCCATATGAACTAACGCCAGTGCTGCCACAGTGTATGTTTACATTAAAAAGCCTGCAGGGACTGGCTATAGACACCAGAACCACTTCATTAAGCTGCAGTCGTTCTGTGGACTATAGTGTCCCTTTAATGTGAGGTAAATTATAGATTAGAGTCACTAATAATATACTAGATTGCCTACTTACAACAAGATGAGGATGATGATGGGCTGCAGTTTGGCTCCACTGGTCTGGTGTAGAACAGGATCTCTGGAGGCTGTTTACAACTGTGGTCACAAAATTCAATGTTCTGGGAGAATTGGAAGCAGCTCCATTTTTTGGGGGCCCCTTACACAGCTCAAGTTCTGGGCCCCAGGGCCTGACAGTGAGTATGCCCACAAGGCCTACTCATAAGTCCACTTATATGTTCCACCCACCCATGAGTTCGTTCACAGGGAGTGGAGTGTGTAGGGGATGTGTTATGTGTTATTGTAGAGGATCTAATATGTGTGCTTATGGTATGTAGTGTATAGGGATACTAGTTTGTGCAGGTGATCTCTCCTCTCCCCCCCTTCTTCACCTCTTCTCCCCTGTTCACCTCTCCTCCCCCCTTCCCCTCTCCTCCCCCCTCTTCACCTCTCCTCTCCCCCCTTCTTCATCTCTCCTCTCCCCCCCTTCTTCACCTCTCCTCTCCCCCCCCTTCACCTCTCCTCCCCTCCCCTGTAGCGTGGCCGAGCTGCTCTGCTGTCCGCAGTGCCCGGCCGGACTGATAGGAAGGAGTGTGCACTTCCTGTCAGTCCGTCCGGTTACAGGAAACAGAAACTCAGCGCGGAACAGGAGTTTCTGTTTCCTGTAACCGGTCGGACTGACAGGAAGTGCACACTCCTTCCTATCAGTCCGGCCGGGCACCGCGGACAGCAGAGCAGCTCGGCCACGCTACAGGGGAGGGCAAGGGAGGAGAGGAGCAGCCGCAGCCGCCTGAAGCTCTTCACAGAGCGCTCAGACGGCTGCAGCATTTAAAGGGCCGGCCCTGCAGCGGCCGGTCCTAACAGAATTTAGGGCGGCCTGGGGGGCAATTGCCTCCCTGCCCCCCCGGCCCAGCCCGCCCCTGGCTGTTGCTGCAGATGGTGGCCTCCTCCTTCCCCAGCGGCTTGGCGGTGAGGTTCCCCTCCCCAGTGGTCTGGCTCTCTCTGGGCACCCTGCCTGTGTCTCCCTCCCTATGTCTCCCTCCCTCGGGCTCTGTACTCTCCTCCTTGGGTACAGGAGCTGCAGCCCGGGCCCAAGGCTTCAACTGTGCCGCGCACCTGGTCCACGTGGCATGCGGCCTGCTCCGTGTCTGGTCCTGGTGTCCAGGCGGCGGCATCTGAGGTGGACCGTGCCCCCCCTGGAGGTAGTGGGGGGGGCGGAGGCACGGCAATCGACCCGGGTGTCGTGTGGGATGCCGCCGGGGGTCCTCCCCTCTCGGCCGGCAGTGGTAAGTGGGACACGCGGGGTGGCTCTCGGCCACTGCCGCCGGGTGGGGAGGGGTTCTGTATCCCCCTCATGGGCTCTGAAGGGGGTCTGCCTGTCTCGGCCCTCCCCTCCCTCTTTTGACCTGGCAGGGTCCGTGGGCAGTGTGGGCTCCCCTCCCCCCACCCCCTGTTGTTGTGTCCCCCTTTTTCATTGTTGTCCCCCCCCTTTCAGTGTGGTGTCTCCATCTGCTATTTGTCCTCCCCCCTCTTTCTCTATTGTCCCCCCCTCCTCCTTGCTGTCCTTTTCTTTGCTCCCCCTCTCTCTCTCCCCCCCACCACTCCCTCTACCCCCCCTTGCCCCCCACCCTCCCTCTCCTTACCTGTCTCGGCAGCCTCCTGTCCAGGAGCGTTGGCTCTTCCTCTCTCCACTGCTGCTTCAGGCTTTGGGTGCAGTTGCCGGATCCGTCCAGCAGGTGGCGTCTGAAGCTCCAGTTGCCATGGGTACTGCGCTGCAGGTGATGGACTCCTCTTTTCAAACTGCTGTCTCTTCTATGGTGCCGCCAGCAG